TCGTCTGCTTGCTTTGCGTGACCCTCTTGGCGCCACGATTTTCATGGTTGCGACCGGATTGATGATTGCGCTGTATACAGACGCTGCGCCATTTTAGTTGCACCCTTTCCGGGTCAACTTTTCGGTAAACCATGGTTTGCGTACTTTCGTGGAAACTTTTAGACAACTTCGTATATTTTCTTTTCTCTCCTTTTTAGAGCTAAGCATTTTTTATACCCTTTTGACGCTTACTCAGAAGAAGGTTATTTCTATTGATAATTTTGATGGGACCAACTGTTCTTTGGTTTCTCCTGAGGAAACTTTTGAAGAACTTCGAAAGATTTCTACTTTCTTCCCTTTAGAACGAGATAGCTCGAACTCGTTTACTATTTATCCAGTAGAAGAGAATTTTTATTGATAATTACGATGGTAACAACTTTTTATTAAATTGTTGTTTGGTAGCGTTCGAGGAAACTTTTGGTGAGCTTCGAAAGTTTTCTTCTTCTTTCTTCTTGGGGTTGAATAACATATTGTACCCTTTTGAGACAGTGAAAACGGGAGGAATCTTCCTATCGATAATTTTGAAAATAAAAGGTCACTTTCCAAGAATCGATGGAAGTTTCCTACACAGATCGATGGAAGATTAACGTGATCCTTTCTCGAAGTTTCAGAAATATTGGCGTGCAACGTCAAAATATTCCCATCGATCACGTTTCCGCACCACTCCTCCCCAGAGGTCCGTGAAATCGACGCAGCATCTCTATTCTAGCTCATTAAATCGCATCTGGCCGGTTACTCCTTTAACGGAGCCGTTTTTCCGGAAACAATGTTGTGACGAGGGCCGTCGAAAAAGGGGTAAAGAAGCCGTGAGGGGGGTTGCCCGTTGGGATTTTTTTTTGTCGGTATTTAGGACCTCTCGAGAGAGAAAAAGGAAGGAAAAGGTTCAATGGACCCTTCGCGGCTGCCGCGTAGAACGGACTACGACGCAGCGGGCACTTGACGCATTATCCAAACACGCGATTTTGTAGGTTATGTTAATACGCGCCCCTCCCCTTCTTTCTTTATAGAAACGTTCCACAAATTAAAATTACAAATTTGTTATGCAATGTTTATCATTAAGAAAAAGAAAATGTTCGAATATTCTATAGTTTATATTATATGTTCTATACAAAATATTCCTTTTATTACAAAAATGTCTGCTCTCTTTTACAAATGCAAAGTTCATTTATAGATAATTTGGTAAAAATTGACTCTAACATCTATCTTTCTCACTATACTTATAACTTAAAACTACAACTAATGAGAGCTTGTGAGTAATACGAAAGAAGTGAGTATCGACCGCGAAGATAATCATGATAATTGGTGATGAATTAAATAAAAATGAAATTTGCTTGGCTGTGAGAATTAAACTTATGTCATAATATTTGAAAAATTGTTCATTTCCGTATCATATAAGCCTGTTTGAAAGTATGTCGTGTAGATTTGGTTGGAGATCGTGCTCGGGTCGAGGATTTTCAGCTCACCAGATCACGGGACGCGTATAAAGGGTTATTCAGCGCGCGGATTAAATGATAAAAAAAGGAGGAGAGAGCCTGCGCGCTGAAATACGGGGCCTTCTTTTCAAGATTGGGCTTTTTGAAAATTTTAAACTCCCCGATCAGGGCCCGGGGTTTTTCATCCACAGCCGGATCGACCTCTCCCCTCCAGCCTATACGAGTTTCAAGAACTACGAATAAAAGGGTTCAGCCTTTGAAAGCTGCTGGATATTCGTGCAAAGGGGTAGAAAAAGAGGGATCCCGATTGCGCGTGTCGTTCCGTGAATTTCTCATATTTTTTAAGATTTGACCCTTAAGTCCCGTCACGTTTCTCGTATTCTTCATTTCGCTGCGCACTGTTGTCAGCATTTTTGTCCCACTGTATGGGCGACACTGCCACTCCCTTCCGTCTTAAACTTGAAACAGTTTTTAATCGCTTCGACACTAGTTTCCAACGCAACTTTTACATCGAGAATTGACGAAATATGGCTTTTCTATCTATGCATATTCATATTGTTATCAACATAATCATAAAAATGATCCTTAAACATTTTTTAAGATTAAGAACGAAAGACAGTAATAGAGATTATTCAATGTTCAATTAGAAATTTTAGTTCCCATCTAATATTAATGTTCACGAAATAATTCTTAATACTTGTTCGATTATTCAACAAATTCGACCATCGTATACCATGATAAAGAGATTTGTGAGATCAATGGCCCACTTTATTGATATTTTAATACTCAAATACTCAATTGTTTGATCAAATTTAGGATCGAATATACATCATTGTATCTTTTAACAAGATCCAAGGCCAGGTTTCGTTCGATGCCTAGCAGCCGTTTTGGCACGCTTCCTGCGACGCGGTACGCATAATTAGGCATCAACAAAATGTCTAACATTCCCGGATATTAAAGAAGAATCATGGACACTCTTGGTAGCACTCGCCATACTATGCGTTTATTCTTAATTAATAGCAACTCGATAAGAGGAGCCTTGACCCCCAACGTTCGTATATTTGCATCTTTCTCACACGTAATGAGTTACATCGTGGATGTTGGCTGTAAATTCGCGCGAATAAGAGTTTCCTCGACGGCTAGTAGTCAGAAGGTGCTCTAACGAGCTACACAAAACACGCAGCTGTGTTACATAATTACTGCACCGGAGGATAGATTAACAGTCCAAACCGAATGTTACGCAACAATATGCATCAACGTTCCCGGTTCAGCTAAACTGGATAATTAATTTAAGCATCCAGAGCGAAATGTAAATTTCGTAATTTGAGTACGTGCTGTCTTCGGCCTAAACCCGTTAAAGAAGGATATGCTCATCTTATTCGCGAGAAAATCGCAGTATGGTGCCATTTTTAGAATCCTAATTCTGTAATCACAGTTTCACGAATTCTTCATTTAATTTGTTAAATGTGAAGACCATGGTAGAATTTTAATATACCATAATTGGGAGCGAAAACCATTATTCGGACCAATAAATGTCTCAAAAAATGTCTGTGTGTCAAAATATCCCTTAAATCTAGTTGACGAAATTATTTTAATACTATTATCACTAATATTTTGATAATTTTGAAGAGGATGAACATATTTAATTCCGAAATCAAATACAACTTTGTTACTTATCGCATTCTTCTTCCGCAATCTTCTTATGGGATAAATTTTCTGCACTTCAATTCCGTAATCGTAGTTTCATGCGTTGCTGATTTCATTCACGAAAAAACGAGATCGATCCAGAAGCTTCGTGCATTTGAGAGAACGTAATATGAAAGTATGGGAAGTATGTATAATGGTTCGCCTCTCCCTCGCAACCTTTACCATTTCGTCTCTTTTCTCGTTGTTCCTTTTTCTTTCGTTTCCCTGCCACACGGGGAACCCTTCTTCTCTTTCGCGTACACACGTGCGCATAAAACTTCGCTGGTACCTATCCCCACCAAAGGGTCCGATGGGGGGAACCCCTAAGAGAAATATTCGACAATTTTTAAACTCGTTTCTGAACGCATTCAAACGTGCACAGTCGACAAGTAGGAATTTCTTGGAATCAACCAAGCCTTTGGTAGGGCACGCCGAACGTGGATCATGGTTTCCGGCTAACAGAGGTGGGGTCTTTGCCATATATTCTCCTGGTGGTTATACATATATTTCGCGGCTATTCGCGAAATTCTTGGGAAGAGCGTGTTATTGTCACTTAAACCGTATGAACACGACAAACATCCTGGAAACTTCTAACGCGTCATGACGAGACTGCTATGGAACCAGAGAACCTTGTTAGAGATTCAGAAGTACGTTGGTCTTGTAGACATGATGTAGCATAGTGATTAGTACATTTTTAGATAGACTATAACACATTCATATTTGTTGAAAAATTCTAACAAATTTTAATTTCTTTGGTATATTACCAAATAGTGAAGAGTATTTTAAATTAAATATTAAAAGATGTCCTAAGGTCTGTGGACTTACGTTACTTTGGAGGTAGTCAGATAAAACTACAATGACGTGTTGCAATCATAAATCGCTGATAGTTCGATTCAGAATAAAATGTAGCGAATCTTGTCTCGAAAATGAAATTCAAAATAATAGGAAGAAAAATCGTCAAGCTTTCGAAATCAAAATACCCAATTAAAAAGAATTGGCAAGTATATTTGATGTACAAAGTAACTCCGTGCTTTCAGTATTCCTAATAATGGCAGTCCGCGTTGTTCCAAGTTACAGTTCGCAAGTTCTGAATATGAATTACACGAGGCCATATTGCATCCCTATATCGATAATATTTTTTGAAATTCATTGAAAATTCGGCAAAGCATTATAGTATCCCATAAGGACCTGTAATTAATTAACTAGAATAAGTCAATCATAAACAAGCTGTTGCAAATTGATAATTTAATGACTTGAAGTTGTAGGACCTGCAACGAAACTCGTTTTTATTTCACTTCTGTTCATTTGGTTTTGAAAGGCTATGCTATAACTCATATCTGAGATACTACAGTATCATTACCAAAGGTTTTTTAAAAGTCGTGGACATATTTATGATTTCTTAAACGTTACGGTTGATCGTTTAAATATTAATCATGTCACCGTTAATTGCTGCTGACATTTAATGAAAGACAAATTTCTTTTCTGTAATATCCATCAATTTCTTCGTATAATTACACTTTAAACGTCTACATCAATGACAAACTCTACTTCTTACTAACCACATTAGACTGTCGCAGATAGGGTCGGTAAATCAAGCGCGCACAGTGAAGCTCTTCATGAACTACAGAACGCTTCTTTACCAACCATCCGATTCTTTATTAACAGCAGACGATACCACTCGAATCTACTATCGAAAAATTCAAGAATTAACTTGCCAGTTCAAACTGAAATTCCCTATATATAAAAGAAAAAGTTCCGTACATTCGATCCTGCTGATCATCATCCCGTAAATCCTCAGCCCGAGAGTAATCCTCACCTCGTCTCTTTGGTTTCTGATTTCAGCATTGTTGAGACAAAGCATGTCTCCGGTTGCGGACACCTTGATCGGTAGCTCGAAAAGCTCTGTGTCACAACCGATAATCGATTACTCCCGATACGTGAGGCGGTACACGTCGGGTCAAGAATGCGGTAGCTCGTATTGTAAGGAGCTCGGTTGCCGAGAGCATTTTCACTGTCTGGACTGCAGTGGTAGGGTCTTTGTGAAAAAGGAGGAAATGATCAGGCATTTCAAGTGGCACAAAAAGAGGGACGAATCTTTGCAGCACGGGTTCATGAGGTATTCGCCGACGGATGATTGCTCGGAGAGGCATCCGGGTCGTGCTTGCCCCCACAATAGAAAACAGACACACTACCACTGTATCCATGAAAATTGCGATAAGGTTTACATATCGACATCGGACGTGCAGATGCACGCCAACTACCATCGCAAGGACTCGGCTATCATACAAGAAGGTTTCCAGAGATTTCGCGCTACCGAGAGCTGTGCTACCGATCACTGTCCCTTCGTTGGCCAGCGGACCACGCACTTCCATTGTCGCCGACCAGGTTGCCGGTTCACCTTCAAGAACAAGGCTGACATGGGTAAAGAACTACTCGCAGTTCTCCCTTAAAATTAGAAATTATAGTCCTCTCTTTCCTAGATTATTCGTTGTGTTTACCGTGACAATATTAGCGATTTCTGTTTGCTTGCCGATATCTCTATACAGTTAACCGTTTAGGTTGATCGAAAAGTTTTGTCGCCAGATTTTGCTGATACATGTATGTATTACAACTTCGTTCCGAGGGTTCCAGAGTTCCTAGGTAATTAAAGTGTACAGTGACCTACTTTCTAACTCGTGAATTGTTTCATGCTTTAAATGAGACCGAGGGGAGAATATATCAACAAGAAAAATAACAAATTCTACAACAACGAAGTAAATGAATTATCAGTAAATGAATTAACAATAGATATTATATTAAACGATTGATAGACATTTCAACTAAAACAATTCATTTCTATCCTTTCAAAGATCAAAAACGACAGAACTTTCCGATCTACCTAACACCTAATGCACCTAATACACCTAGTACCAATCTAGCCCAAGGTCCTTAACTGGTTTCTTTAATAAGTTCCTTTCTCCGTCTTCTTCTTACAGACAAGCACAAATCGTACCACATCAAAGACGAGCAATTATCCCGCGACGGGTTCAAGAAATTCATGAAGTCCGAGGCGTGTCCCTTCGAGCAATGTCGTTTCTCACGCGTCTGCAATCACATCCATTGCATACGACCTCATTGCAGCTACGTTCTCCATTCATCCGGTCAGCTGTTTTCTCATAAACGAAAACACGAGCGTCATGAAACGGAATTGGCTTACAGAAAATACAAGCAGATCAATGCTGTTGGCGGTATTCGACCGCCAGGATCATGGCCACCGGATGATCTCAGCACGCAGAGTCTCTCCTTGAGTCTTAATGGCGAAAGCTCGAACGAGGATAGAGGCTCGCCGTCGTATTATTCTTTGGATGATTCCTTTCAGAGTGGTAGCGACCTAGCGATGGATCTCACCGCGCCAACAACCGCGGTCACTGCTAGTGGAAGTTCCACAGTGACTGTGGATCATCAGCATCAGCAGCAGCAACAGAGTCAGCAGCTTACTGCCACAGAACTTGCGTATCTGGTACCTGCAACAGCCGACTGTCCCTGTCACATAGGCAGGGAGCATCATCACTGCGGATTAGATCGCTGTGGTACAGCTCTGAAGGATCCTCGCGAAGTCAGGGAACATTTGAGAGAGCACGAGACTCAAGAGCGCATCACCGATGCCTTCTTCGAGGAAGGTGGCTGCGACGACAGTTGTCCGTATGCCGATAAGGAGAAACATTATCATTGTAATTGGGAGAACTGTCGCGAAGTAATCCTTTCGACTGACAAACCCTTCCGTCGACTGCAACATTATAAGATTCATGAATATAGTCGACAGTTAAATCTCTCTTGTTCTTCTCACGCTCTATCCTCTGATGTTACGTTAACGCACTTGACTAATATCGACGCGATGTTCAGGCGGAAGAGAGGCAGGCCTCCAAAAAATAGGGTTATCGAAATTTGGTCCGGCGGTGACCCAGCTACTCATACTCACGACTCTCCACAAGCGATCTTCACCAGTTTCAAGCTACCCAAACCTCAGACACCTAGTCTGACACCCAATCCTATGATCGAAGAGAGAGAAGGAAGTATCTCACCTTCGAACAGTCTCGGCGAACCAGAAGGATTCTCCACCTACAACCCAGACGGTTGTCCAGATCCGGCTTGTGTTCTCAGATCAACGAGACACCATCACTGCTCGCAGCTGAGGTGTCATTTCTCCACCGATAGACCCGACCAGCTACTGATGCATAGCAAAGACTTTCACGATAACGTCGACATACCGCCCGGCTTTGCCTTCTTCGATAAGATGGTAGATTGTCGACTAGCTGGCTGTCACAGTAATCGCGTTAATCGGCATTTTCACTGTACCAGGCCGAACTGCGGCTACTCCTTCGTCAGATACTCGACGATGGCGATGCACGAGAAACAGCACAGTAGTCACGACGATCGACCTGAATGCTCGTCGAACCAAGAATGTCAGACGCAAATTCAACCTATGGTTCAAGAAACGAAGCCGAGGATTCAAGTAAAGAATCCGGCTGAATTAATCGAAAAACCTGAGGAAAGCTTGGCCAGCGACATGGAGAACAGATCAATTATGGACGAAAAGGAATCGGAGATCCCCAGCCCAGATGTTAATAAGACCACCGGTAAGTGTAACTTTCAACATGGACACGAACCAGTGCACCTGTATAGTACTGTTTTATAGATGAGTTTTGTTTGGTAGTTACTTGAGATGTTTACCGAGACAGTTATCCAATCAATGCATGTCTTTTGCACGTACACGCACTCCAGCGTATATTACGATACACGTCAGCACTCCTTAATCCTTTCGATGTCACTATGAATTGTTAAGCTCGTCATTAGACTGCAAATATTTATGCAAATTCGTATTTTTATTTAATCCAATTAAAGAAATGGAATTTGGATAGATAAATGTTTTGTTTGTCGAATAAACTTATAAAAATTATGATAAATATCATAATATTTTATGTTTTGAATACTTTATATATTCTTGCATGTTATCTGCATTTTATGCATTTTTAATTTGTACACCTTTAAATTTTCTATAAATGCATAAAAATTCGCAGTCCACTTATAACAAAATGATTCTTGTCAAATTTTTCAATCATATCAATTTTTTTTCTAATACTGCATTCTAATAGTGAGAAATTAGACTCACAACATAGTGGACTCGATATTATAAAAAATCCTTTCTTTAGTTAAAGTGTCTTATCTGGCATTTTTTCTTTTTCGAAGTTCCCCGTGTCCTTACTCTTTTAAATAAAATTATAGTACACAGACTGTTATAGATAACTAAATATTAATAACTAAATATTATGAATTGAATAGAAAAGACATTAAAATGTAAAACATTTGTTTCTTCGGATATCTCAAAGTAGCAGCTGGAACATTTTAAGCACAGTACCGACGAATGAAAATTAGTCGGTTAATATTAAAAGAAATTAAATTATACTTTTGCTTCCCTGAGGAATATAAACCATAGATAAGGCTCGTTTTAGTTATGTACCCTTCAATTCATTTAGCCTGCTCTCGAAAGGATTACAATACATTTCCCAATTATCCTTTATTTTATTCCTATTTTTGTTTTCATGTACATTATATTTTCTTGTTGCGTTTGATGTATCTATTGTACAAGGTGGTTGTAATTATAGTGGGAGGTATATTTGAAGTGTTGGTTGTTTGGTTGATTGTTGCTAGTGGTGAGGGCGGCTGGCACCTATTATCCGGTCAGTGGACCGCCGAGTGAACCCGCACTTCCGGGCGTCGTGCTATCCATGCGAACTTCCGTGCACCAAGGTTCGTGTCTCTTTCGACGACCAATTTTCTTGCCTTGAATTGTGTTCGATTAGTAATCAGTAAATAGTAAATCAGTCGTCGCCTTTCGTCTTCCGCATTTTTCAAATTTCGCACCTGTATTTACGCTAAACTTTTCCATTGCAGAGTCGCCGGTTCTTCCATCCACGTCTTCAGCGTCGCCGCATACCCTGTATGGACCAGAGCAGAGCTGTAGCAGGCCTTTCTGCAAATTAAAACGCAAAAACCATTATCACTGTAACGCCTGTAATCAAGCATTCTCCGAACTGGACCGACTGGTGGCACACATAGCGAAACATTCTACAGGCGCCATACTCAGTCAACAGCAGCACGATCTAACCAATCAGGCGCCTAGTCAAATGCAACACGACTATCTGACGCAATTATCGCAGAAGCACGACTTTATGGCGCAGAACGCTCAAATGGCTCAAAATATTCAGAATTTCCAGAATCAAATGCAACGTCAGATGCAGCAGACTCTGGGTCAAATTAGCCAACAGACCCAAGTGAAAGAGGTGAAAATCGAGCCAACGAGATGTGGCTCGGACGTGGGAGTTCAGAACGTTCCCAATGTTAAGAGAGAACCGAGTGAAGTATCGAGGGACGATGGAAACAATTCGGTGATGGATAACAACGAGAATGGCCAGTTGTCTCAGCCGAGTATGCCAACCAGTGTCCAACAATCCCCGGTTCCCACCAGCTTCGAACTCGACCTTAGCCACGGATTCCATTTTCCTAACCCTGCTGTAATGGCTGCTATGAATCAACAGATAGCCCTGATGAACCAAGCCCTGCCACCTTTCCTGCAGCATGGTGGCATGTACACTGGTGGACCAGGGCTGATGTTTGCTCCAGGTTTACCTCCGACCAATTTTCTACCTCCAACCAGAGATGAAAATCCTTTGGCCTCGTTAGCTGCGAATCTTAATCTCAACAAGAGATCCCTGTCTCCACCTGATAGCAATTCTCCGGAGGCGAAGAAGCAGAGGCTTCATCATTCCATGCGGATGCTGAAGGACGAGCCTGTACCGGAGGGATACGTCAGGTCTGTGTTATGCTTTTCCTAGGTTGAAATTTTTACTGTGTTACATTATATTTTATAATACAGGGTGAGATGTTTAAATAGGAATATCTAATTATTTTGTTATTTTATGAAGTTTTTATGAGATTAATTTTACGAGAGAAATCCTTAGGACAAAGTCACATTATTTAAAGAGCCATATATAAGCATAAGACATACTTCTTCTCAAGGTCATTTTCTCAGATTTCAAGGTCATCTAGGATAGGATACTAGTGTCTAGAAGTATACTTAACGCTTACGAGTTATTTCTATTCTAATTTCATCAAATTTAATGCATGAATCAACCAAAATTCGACCCAAAAGCCTCTATGCTTTTTCATATACAATAAAAAAGACAATGATATTCTGAGAAAATTCGTCCGGTCGTTAAATGTGTCCATTTAATACAAATTAATAATATTTAATACAAATAATTAAAATATCTAGTAATAATATTAGACACAACGATAAACAGTAATAGCGGGATGTAAATTTTTATTTATAAGTCACGTAAGTAACGATTTTAATTTCCATTTCAGGTTCAGATTCAACGAAGACTGTAGGTACCCGCACTGCGGCTACAGAGAGCACCAGACACATTTCCATTGCATGCGTCAAGACTGTGGCTACTCGTTCTGCGACAAAACGCGTTTCGTTCAGCACACGGCGAGACACGAGCGTCTCGACACTCTAATGGGCGGCGATTTCCAACAATATAGAGCCAATGTTCCCTGTGGAAGAGCACAGTGTGCCTACACCTCTTCGTTAGGCTCGATGCAGAACAAGGCTTCGCACTTTCACTGTTTGAAATGCGATTTCGTCTGCACAGATACGAACAAAGTGGTCGCTCACAGGCGACAGCATGCGAAATTGGACAGTATCGCGGCGGCCGGTTTTCAGAAATTCACGCCAAGTCAGCCTTGCGGTGGTGTCCAATGTCAGCATTCCGGTAAACAGACACACTACCACTGTCTTCAGTGTCAGTACGCTGTTCTGGGCCTAGCGCAGATGTCTGCTCACAAGTATCGACACATGGATACATAACGACGTTCACCGGAGCTGCCACTCGTTGGAGAAGACTCAAGAAAGACAATTCTCTGGTCCCCGGTAGACATTCCTTGAAGAGTCCAGGCCCGAAGCCGAAGAAAGAGTAAGGAAGCAGCGGGGGGCTGGATCCAGCCGATAAATTCGGATCTCGCTGATGAAATCTGATTACAAGAGGACCGAGGGAGGAGTAAACTAAAAAAGACAATTTCATGCACCCTGTAGACATTCCCTGCAGAATTTCGCTCGCGATTGTCCATGCCCGATACGCACAACGCGTATGTACGTTTGTTCGTCGAGGCTGGATGATTAGGAGCAGACCCCGACCGCGGCCTAGTCATTAATCTTCAGCCGTTCTATCGACCAGGAGAAATCGATAGCTCTTGGCGGCGTGTGTGTCTTCTCGTTCGGATCGAAACAGCATATGTATATATACATATATATATACATATATATATCGGTCGATGCATCGAATGGAACTGTTCAGTCAAACTCGATGACTTCGTACTTACCAGAGGAGATATTTATTAACTGAATGACGATCATTTTTTTTTTTTTTTAATATTTTCACGATCCTTCTCGAATCGTCTCGGCGATGGGCGAAGAAGTGGAGAAGAATTTTTGAAGAATTTTGAATGAATTTCGTGTCACAGAATGATTTCGTGATGAAAGAGATCTATGGAACGACGGAAGAAACCTGGCATAGAACCGTAGACAATAAACATGAACGACATGTCTATCTTATAGCTTTAGATCGCGAGGATAAAAGACAAACTATAATATTTAAAATAGAAAAAGACCTTGTACATTTCGTTTTCCTTCTTTGTTTTCCTCATATTTTTTTTTTTTTTTTTTTTTTTTTTTTTTTC